CTATCAGCTACGCAGTTCACCATTTATCCAATCGCCAAGTAGGATATATATATGTGTTAGTATACTTATAGATAAGTATATATACTTTCATACACACATAGCATGCGGTTGGTACATAAGAAGCGAAGCAAAAAAGACACAAAAGTACAGCGAAGACTCACAAAAGCGCTAAAAATTACAGCCAGTTTAAGTATTTCAAGTAATAGCGCGACTTCGGTACATTTCACTATCAACCCTCACTAGTCATATTGCCAAAAAATCGTTTGCTCCGGAAGCAGGTTCATGCCAGACTCGCACGAAATAGCAGAAAATTGTTAATTACTAATTTACAGATTTTGACGTTGCATTATGAACGTTGCACGAAGTATTATGGTTCGGGAAACACATACGGAATGGCGTCGGAGACCGAGAAGAGACTTTCGATGCTGCTGTTTTATGCAATTTTTGACTCGTTGGGTAGCAAGCCCTATGATCCAGAACTGTTCGGCAAAGCACTGCCATGCCTGACTGCTATTGGTAAGTCCTGCGTTTCCGCAATGAATTCATGATGTTGCAGAGAACTAGAGCAATTACGCAGATACTCGAATCTTAGGATCAAAAACGCTATAAGAAAGGAAATGTAGAGAATTTTTATATGCTTTAAACATTGTCATAAAAAACATGTATATACATAGCTACACGAATCTTTATACAGAATGAATAAGATCCATAACGTGTACATCAAGATCCATAGCGTCTTTGATCTGTAAATTCATATTTCAGGCTCCGCAATATCACCGGATTACACGTTGACTACAGCAAGTGAAGATTTGACAGATTCGGCAAAAACTGTAAGTGATCAAGGTGTCTGGATTCCGAAACCAACCGAAGTAAGTAAAGTTCGCTTGGGCAGTGATCTGGAATCGATAATTGCAAAATTTGCGGAACACTTCCACGATTCATGGGCTAGCCGAAAGGTAAACTTTTTGCTTTTCAATTATCGTAAGCAACTAAACATGTTTGCAGAGAATTGTTAGCAATTAAAAAATAATAGATAATTTCAGTTTCGTCGACTTTTATCTTCCAGGAGATATGCTGAGGAGGGGACCAAGGCACTACTAAGCTGTAAAATTTGGAAGATCGGCTCAGAACGCATGAATTTTACGTAATTTTCTAAGTTATAAGTGATACTCTGAGCAGATTTTCACTCACTTTACAAACCACTTTTGGCTCTAGAAACCGATAAAATTTTTCGATTGGTACCAAAATATATCACGTTAAGATTTACTCATCTTTAGTGGTTCTATATTTGTGAAGGAAAGGACACTCGGAAACCTCCCACCGATTTAGCACTATGCCAACTGCAACCACTCGTTGGCGGGAATATTGATAATTAGTTCTCATCTGTGTAGTGATAAGAAGCATAATGAAGAATGTTTGACGAACGGGCATATGAAATGTACCAATAAATCATAGCAAAGATCATTTCCGCACTCAATTATAGCAAAAAACAATCTGGAACGAAAAATGATTTGTAAAGTGAGTAAAGTTTACCTTAGCATTGTAGCTCTTCTCTCCTTTCCCTCCCAACAAAAATATGAGGTTGAGTCTCCATGGTTCAGGACACCTTAACCATTCAAATCCTGTGAGAAATTCAGATAATGTCATGAGAAGACGCGAGATTTTCGCATCATGCAAGATTTTCGAGATTTACGCATTTTCGCGCCTTTCGCAACATTATGCTCTATTTATGTATACAGCTCAGGGGTGAAACACAGACAGCTTATTTCTCTTTTTATGCGTTTTTGCTGTGCAGCGCTGTAGCAGCGCTATAGCGCTGCTACAGCCAGCAAAAAC